GAGAGAGGGGGAGGGAGAGAGAGAGAGAGAGAGAGAGAGAGAGAGAGAGAGAGAGAGAGAGAGAGAGAGAGAGCTCTTAAGGGCGGGGAGAGCTCTCTCTTGCTGGGGTGTCCTGTTTGTGTGTTCAGGTAACTTGTGTCATTTGACTCTATGAAAGTTCCACATACCTTATACAGGTTCCCGGCCTAGCAGCTGATCCTCATACCACAATCCATTGACCACGTTTAGGGGAACCGCTACTGGAAGATGAAAAGACAGGCTGACAGGACTATTCCCAAAGATTGGATGAAAAGACTCAGGGTGACCAGACTATTCCCAAGGACCCACACCCAATGAGCAGAAAGACATAACACAGAGACAAATAGTGCAAAGGAGACTCAAAAGTTCCAATAGACTATTTCGTGGGACTTGCACCAACAGGCATGGAGCTGAACCTTCGACAGTCTGCAAGATCCCCTCACAATGCTTTGTGTCATTACCAATCTTCAAACCCTGTTGCAGATGGGTGAACACAGGAAAGCACGCAGTGCAACATGGAAAAAGCAACCTATAGCAAAGTAAAGCAGGCAGGCTGCAAGGCAAGTGGGCGGCACACGATAAGGCAGCAAGGAAACAAGGCAAGGCAAGCAGCAGGGCAGCCAGGCAGCAAGGCAGAAAAGCAGCAAGGCAATGCAAACAGCAGGGCAGCCGGGAAAGAAGCAAGGGAACAAGTCAGCAAGGCAAGGAAAGCAGCAAAGAATTGTAGTGAGCAGCGAGGGAACAAGGCACTAAATGGCAAGGCAAGCGGGTGCGTAGGCAGGTGGGACATAAACACAGCAAGACACCGAGCAGCAACGGAACCCAAGGACGCAGCGAGGAACACTATCACCCACTGACATTATATGGAAAGCCCAGCAGAGTGATGGTCCACGCGATGCTTGAATAGGATTATAGTTTCATAGCTTTTTTTCTTAGGACTTCCACGGTAAGGACTGGGTACTTTGGCAGTCTCCGGCTGCCTGACGGTAACCTTAAAAACATCGACTACTATGGCCCATATTCGTTGCATTGTCCTTTATGCTTTCCAGGGATAAGTAACCGGGATGCCCCCCCCCCAAGAATATAAAGGGGGTCTGTGTTTGAAATGAAAAAGGAGGGGAGGGGCGGGGAGAAAAAGGATGGTCCACGCGCTGTGAAGAGCCAGAAAGTCACCGGACAAATGACCATCTTCAGTGAAAAACACAGAGAGACAGGCATCCGAAGCGCAACCACCCCCCTAATAGTGTCACGGGCACTCTGAACAAACAGGCACCGACTATTTGGCACAACTCGGGGGTACTCAACTTCAGTACTCGGAACAAGTCTCGGGAAAGGCTCAAACCGTGTCGCAAGCTGGCCGTGCCCTGTGGAGCACCATCTGTGCTTGTTGCTATTCGACGTGATCGATGCTCAAACTATACCATCACCTCGGTTTAGCCTGGCAACAGGCACGATATGTGCGGTTGGAGTGTGTCATGCACTACTGCTTTTCATCCGCGATGACCTTGACATGTCATCATTGAACTGACCAGCCCCAGGTTATTCAGAATATTTTTTTGTGCTCATATGATTGCATGTGGGCTCGAACTTGGGTCTGCGTTTCAACAGTTCATAAATGTACCAACTGAGCTAGGCCCTTTGCAAAAGGAGACCCTTTTTTTTTTCTTTTTTTTCGAAAAAGACATGCTTCGATCTATTCATGGGGAGCAACATGCAATGACTTGCTGATTCTGCAGCCTGCGACCCGTCGACCCGAGGCTGTAACATAGGTAGAATAGATTCGCTATTTGGTTTAGCTGAGGGCTAACCGACATATCTAACTGTGAGGAAAATTTGTGAGGGACATATCTGTAAATTTGGGAAAATTGCAGGCCCAGACTAACTAGAATTTCCTGAAACTACCCTAACTGCGAATAGCAGGCCCGGGCTACCCCTAGGACAGAGGCCGTGAGGCCTAGGCTGCTAGACGGTTGCTATAGCCTATACCCGGGTAGGGAGAGGCCCTAGAGGCCGAATTGAAACGGTACCGGTCAGTCCAGTCAGTCCGGTCTAGGTCGTGTCTAGGCTAGGGTAGATTATGAATAGGTGTAGGGAAAACTGTTCGAGGCTTTTTGGCAGTTGGTACCGTGCACATTGCAACGGCGCAGCGCATGAACTGGAAGTGGTGACAGTTTCAGCGTTGAAGGAGACAGACATAGCCAGACCCTTGAAGCGTCGGCCATAGCTGGGACCTTCGGTGTTCTCTGACAGCACACGGGGCTGTCCAGAGGTCTGGGCTATCTGAGGTCTGCTGGAGGCAGGAGAAGTTGGTGCTCTGTTGAACCCTCCTCAGGAGTAGGGTGTCAGGGTGTGTGGTGCTGCAGCCATAACTGCAACTTTCATCCTCAAAGATCATCGTTGTCAGGAGAGGTGGCGCTGCTGCAGACTTCCATCCATCCGGGAAGTCTTCTGGCTCTTCATCATCACCAGAGACTGTGGTGCTGGTCTTAGGGGTAGTGATAGCGGTTATTCAGGGTTGGGGGAAGAAGCGCTGCTCATCTCTGAGCAGTGCACCATGGTTTTGGGGCAATTTTGACAAAACGATGTTCTGAGTTTAATAAACAGTGTTAATATTGTGTGTGAACTATCTTTGCTTCATTGTTTTCTGGATGTGATCCACTCGACTTTCCTTGTGATTGGTTGTGAGGATTATGTGGAGTGAATTGCACTTTCAGTGTACTCCGTCATATCGTGTGGTTAAGTCTTCCGTTGTGTTTCGATCTACCTGTGTGATGTGATACTCCCATTCTCTTACCTTCCTTTTGTGTATGTATGGGCATACCTGGAAGTCTATGTGAGCGAGTGTTGGTCTTCTGACAACAAACAACCAGGTTCATAACAATTGGTATCAGAGTGATTGGATCCACTGTGTGGGGTAATTGATGAGTTGGAGCAACTACCATCATCTGGCGAGACACTGGAGTTGAACTTCATGGCGATTTGTCATCTTCTGTGTTGGCGACAGTGAGGGTGGTGGTGGTAAGTATGTGGCGAGAGGTATTGGACACAGGGTGATTTACTCCTGCTTAAGGTGGTACAGGAAAGAGTGGTGATTGGTACTCAGAGGCCTTGGAGGCTCTGAGGAGGCTAAATTTAGCATGGCGATTCATCTGAGACTAACGATTTGCAAGGAGGTGACCCTTAGGGTGGTGTGATTTTGGGATTGGGTCAGGATCCCCAATTCCCAAACAGCACAGGGCTGATTGGAGTAGCGTTGTCGAGCGCATCGGTCCGGCACCGCACGTGGCAGCACAGGACCCTCTCGGCCGCGTCACGCAGGAGTTGGACCAACCTCGTCACGAACACACAAATGGAGTTTCCTTAGGCCGCTCCGGCCGAGTGCGCCAGCCATACCTCTCGCGAGCCCCTACGACAGGATAGGGCCTACGCGAGGCATAACTT